GAACTTCGCTTTGTTTAATTCTCATAGTGTCTACATTATTACAGGATCCATTACGCCCCTTAGTTTTAGGTGGTGATCACTCAATATCATTTCCAGTTATCCGAGCTGTCTCTGAGAAGCTTGGAGGACCTGTTGATGTTCTTCATCTTGATGCGCATCCTGATAACTATGATGCCTTTGAAGGAAACATTTATTCACATGCTTCTTCTTTTGCTCGAGTCATGGAGGGCGACTATGTTCGACGACTTTTGCAGGCAATTATTTGATGTTTGCAGATTTGTTTGTAATATAAATGGTTTAATTTGTTAATACATTGCAATAACTTAAATCTCATTTAGCCTTTATATTCTGTTAATTTGTGCATTTTGGCTGATTATTTTTCATAGAATAGGTGGGATTTTGTTTAGAAGTTAAATATAACTTGATCAGGACTCAGGATGTAATCATCTGGAACCCTTGAAAGAGGACAACCAATTTAGGTGTAGGACATATGGATGATGTGGCTAATCCTTCACGTATCTGATTTCACAAATGAAGGAATCTAATTCCCATTTTATGATTCGTTTTTGCACAGTTATGATCTATTATTCATTATCTGAAACAGTGTGTAACTTGTCCACAAAGTTAATAGAACTGTTAGTTGAATTCCTTAGAACCTTTTACAAAGCAAAACATGCTTTGCTGAAATTACTTCATTATATTCAACCATGCTCTCAAAATGATTTATTCTCTTGGAGTGAATTTATCTGATAAATCTTTGACTTACATCTTAGTCTGCACATTTTTTTGTTAATTTGTTTGGATAGTTAAGTTGATGCAATTTTCCTCATGAATGATAGTAAATATTTCATTCATCTATGTTGTGCGTGACACATTAGTATTCTTCATATTGTTTTTAACTCGTTAATCTATATCAGGTTGGTATAAGATCAATAACAGCTGAAGGGCGTGCACAAGCCAAAAAATTTGGAGTTGAGCAATATGAAATGCGGACATTTTCAAGAGATCGTCACTTCTTAGAAAATCTGGTCTTTCTATCGCTCTTTACCTCTTTTATACAACACAAACACACCTACACATTAATTCATATCTCTCTTCATCTATCAAGCATGAATTATAAACCTTACATATTATATCCATGTTGACTACCTGGTAGGTGTCAAGGCATAGTCATACATGTTAGAATGATTCACTAATCAATACTGTTAGGTTCCTGGGTCTGAAACCTAACTATCAACACTCACATTAAGCAAAAGAACAATGAAAGAATGGGTTTCTGTTATTGATACTTAAAGAAAATACACAGATAGCGCTAATGAAGGCTAATCCCCCTCTTAGTCCTAACAGAGGCCTAATCCCCCTCTTCTGGCCAAAGTCCAGATTTACAAAAGAATATTCAAAAACCTCTCTGACAACATAACAGAGTCCTATTTATACAATTCCTCTGCCTTCTATCCTAAACCCATCTTAAACCCATTACCCATTATGCTATGCCCTACACCCTATAACTTATCATTACACCCCGCTGCCGAACAACCTTGACCTCAAGGTTGGAACCGAAAAGCTTAGTCTCTTGACTCCTCTTCATCATCTTGTTATCATATGAAGGGAACCCTCTGGCAATTGCCCTCCAATTCAGGTCTGGAGGTTTGGGTGGTGGCAATTCCTCCTCCAATGACTTCCATTCTTCTTGGATTTTATTAGCTTCCAGCATTCTGGTCACCTCTTTTCCAGAATCATAAACCCTGAGGAAATGGTCTTCGATGTCTTTCAATGCTTCAAACAACTCTCTCCCCTCTGAGGCTGTATCAAGAACGACAAGGCCCTTTTTTTTTCGTTGGTCCACCTCTTCACAGAATCCCTCCTTCTCTCTAGGGCATTGGTTCTTCCATCCACCTTTCCCTCCCCAAGCCTTCATTCTAATTGTAAGACCGTTCCGCCAATGACTGAGAGACCGTTTTGACTGTAAGATCGTTCGACCTTTGATTGTAACGGTAAGACCGTTCGGTTCCGGCCGTCCTCTCCCATTTGGATTCGGCGGTTCTCTCCCGTTCGGGTCCAGCAGTTCTCTTCCGTGCGAATCTGGTAGTCCTCTCCTGTTCGGATCTAGCTGTCCTCTCCTGTTTAGATCCGGCAGATTCCGGGTGTTCAGTACTGACTCCACACTCTCAGTGGCTCCCGATCTGCCTGAGTGATTGGCCTCGGACCGCTCGGCAACTCCCGATCTGCCTGGGTGATTGGCCTCGGACCGCTCGGCGACAACCGATCTGCCTAGGTGATTGGCCTCAGACCGTTCGACGACTTCCTGATCGGCCTGGGTCATAGCGATTGGCCTCGGACAGTGTCCCCTCTCCGCTCGTTCGTCCCCAATACGACTGGTCTTCAATGGCCTCGGACCACTCGGCTACTCCCGATCGGCCTGGGTTATAGCGATTGGTCTCGGACTGTGTCACCTCACCGCTCGTTGGTCTCCAATATGACTCGTCTTCTATCCCGCTCCCGTTCTCTACCTTTTCGCCTCCCTGGAATTCTTCAGCATCCCTTGCGATCCGCATCGCCACCATCAAGTCCTGCAGTTCATGCCGTTGGACTTGATTTCGGATGTCCTCTTGCAATTTAACAGTTGTTCGTTTGGCACCCTCTTCGTTCGACCCGCAAATTTCTTGAAGACTTGTACATACTCTTCCACCGTCCCCGTCTCTTTCGATGCCGCCAAACGCTCAAGCATGGTTCCAAACCTTATCACCAGGGCTTCCTTCAAACCATCCCATGAACGATTCTTGGCTTTCTCCTACCAGGCCTAATCCCCTTCTTAGCCTTAACGGAGGCCTATTCCCCCTCTTTTGGCCAAAGTCTAGATTTACGAAAGAATATTCAAAAAACCCCCTCTGACAACATAAAAGAGTCCTATTTATACAATTCCTCTACCTTCTATCCTAAACCCATTACCCATTATGCTCTATCACCCTATAACCTATCAAATACTCTATAATGATATTTCCTTAACAGTCAACTTTTGGAAACATCTGAAAATTATAGAAGTTTTTTAGAGAAACCTTTGGACCGGAATCAAATTGTGTTGTGCAAATGAGCAAGGATATCTGTTGACATTGTCTCTGAAATGTCTTTGAATATAAGAAATTTCAATCATTTTACTTGGCTGAACTACTTTTTATTTGATGATAAAAAGTCATAACTATCATTGGAGAGTTGACTTTTCTGCATTTCTGTATCCTATGAATGCATTTGTTTCAGCAGGGAAGGGAATGAGATTCTGTTGAAGCAAAAAAGTTGTGTCTGATGGAATTTAATATCTTTTGTTCTGAGATTTGGTGCTTTTGTGATATGTAAACCTGGGGATTTTCTTTTGCAGAAACTAGGGGAAGGTGTTAAAGGTGTATACATCTCAATAGATGTGGATTGTCTAGATCCAGCCTTTGCTCCTGGAGTGTCTCACATAGAGCCAGGAGGTCTTTCTTTCCGTGATGTTCTCAACATCCTGCACAATCTTCAAGGTGATGTTGTCGCCGGAGACGTGGTCGAATTAAACCCTCAACGTGATACTGTCGATGGAATGACTGCCATGGTAGCTGCTAAGCTGGTGAGAGAACTGGCTGCAAAGATTTCCAAGTGATGATCTTCAGCCTCAACCCTCTCAATAACTAAAATGCACCTGGAGGCTGGAAGGTTAATTCTTCAGAGTGGCATTCAATTTTACCATGCCTTATTTCCAGTATTCATAGAACATGGTCAATGATTCAAAGGTTTTTCTTAAGGATTATTGGTTTTCTATTTAGTTGTAGTTCAACTGTTGGTTTTCTATTTAGTTGTAGTTCAACTGTTGGTTTCTTAACAGGACAGACACTCAAAGAACGGCACCTTTTTGAATCTTTATCTTGATTCTTAACAAGTGTGTTGAAAAAGAACTTTCTTTCTCTAAAAAAAGGAATAAGCTGTTTCACCACTGCATTATTTGTAGGCAATGATATAACGAAATTAAGAAGAGGGGTGAATTGTTTTAACGTGAAAAATTTTATTTTCAAAACTTTTGAGCTATTCAAAACTTGTTTTTAATAAATCTTAGGTTTATTTTAAGCTTTGTTTGCTAATATCATAGTATTAGATCTTTGGAAAGTTTATAAAAATTTAATCTTGCAAAACAATGATAGAGTAAAGAGAGTAAGAAATTGAGAAAGTTACACAATTTTTATATTTAATTCATTGGTCAAAACTTTTACCTAGATCTACAAGATGGTTGATGATGTGAATGAATTTCTTGTGCACATCATAAATATTTTCTCTTTGTTGCGTTAGAACATTTTATACTCTTGGATTAGAGTGTTTTTTTAGTTCCTTTGACATCATTTGTGGCCTCATAGATAACTTCAATAATTTTTCACATTTCTTTGACACTTTTACATATAGAGATTTTGTAACTCTTACATAGGAAATAAGAATATCCAATTAACTCTTTTATTTTCTTGTGTTATCTTATTTATTTCTAACTTGTAAATTTAACAAAATACCTTTTATTTGTTGCAATGCAATGCCTCTACCAATAATATGTGAACTTTAAAGAACATAATTTTAAACTCTAGCTCGGTTGAGTGATTTTAAATAGTTTAGGTTCATAGTGTAACAACCCTTGAATGTCTATTTGTAGTATAATGAAGTTATCAAGGATAATACTATTACTTTCTTACACCATGTAGTTTCTTCTAATACCTTCATTGGATGTGGAAAAAGCCTTAATTGCACCCAATAGTTTCTTTTTTTGTTTAAAATTTTAATTTTAAAACAAAATTTTTAATAAATTACTTTTAAAATGAATTATAATTCAAGAATATATAACCTATTATAATAAAAGAAAGTGTCAACATATAATTCATTAAAATTGTGTTAGGATTGAAATGATGTCATCGACCCGCCATGACATTCTATCGACATGAACATCTCGGTTGTAGTAGCAACGCATACCTTGACCATGTTGGATTCTCAAAGAAAGGTTAGTATGTCTGATAAAAGGATTAGAGAATAAAATGCATTAGCAAAACCCTAAATTGTCTAAGAAAGGTATCCAACTTGAGCGTTAATTTTTACTTATTCATCCAGGTCCATCCAGGTAAACTGTTCACGAGATAATTTTTACTTATTCATTTTAACATTTATTATTGTCTTAGCACATACCTAACTTGAGCGTTAAAGTATCTTTGTAGGCATCTTGGATGTTCAACCATTGAAGAGTTCATAGGAGGTACATCTTAGACTTACACTAATGAAGTACAAGATTGAGGAGTGTTTCTTACGGAGACTAGTAAATATATTTCGGCTTTGCAAGATAAAAAACATTACTAATAAAGGTAACTCTTATAAATTTTTACTTATTCATCTAGGTCCATCCAGGTAAACTGTTCACGAGATAATTTTTACTTATTCATTTTAACATTTATTATTGTCTTAGCACATACCTAACTTGAGCGTTAAAGTATCTTTGTAGGCATCTTGGATGTTCAACCGTTGAAGAGTTCATAGGAGGTACATCTTAGACTTACACTAATGAAGTAGAAGATTGAGGAGTGTGTGTTTCTTACGGAGACTAGTAAATATATTTCGGCTTTGCAAGATCAAAAATATTACTAATAAAGGTAACTCTTATAAATTTTTTTGAAAATATTAATCTTAATATGTAAAAAAATTCATACAAATAATTAAATCAATAGTAAAAATTGAAGTAAATAATTAATAATTAATCCAAGAGAACATAAGAAAATAAATAAAAAATGCAATATTAAAACAAAAGTTAGAGGAATTGATTCGTAAAGATAAAAATTAGTTGAATCTTAGTTTGGAAATTGAAAAGGAAATAATTGTGAATATAAGTCTAAGAACCATTATGTAAAGGAGTATGAAAATTGGCAATAATTTGTAGAAAAGAGACGGGGTAATAGAATAAAAAGAATCAAACCAATTGGACCTTATAAATAAATGACAAAGACTAAATTGTGAATCTTAAATGACATTGATTACTTGAAATTGAAGAATGTAAAAAGTTAAAAATGAGAATCCCATAAATTAATTTTAAATCCAAGTTAAGATGAACTTATGAATTCCGTGATTTGTGGCAACTTTTGCTATTTTTTACGATTTTTATGAAGAAACTATGCTTGTTAAGGTTGGGCTTAATGTTCTGGCTCGAAATTACCATGCTTGAAAAATTTAAGAGTGGACGTGACATAATTCACAATGTGAGGAGCAAGAAGGGCTGGCCAAGAAGACCTAAGAACTAGGTTGACACTGTGTAAGACTCAATTAAATATAATTTTAAGTTTAGTAGAATAAATAAATAAGGTGAAACTCTTCTTAATATTATTAAAATTGAACTATGATCAAACAGTGTTTGTAACCCAGTTGGTTAGAAATTGTTAGCAAGAAAATTTAAGACTTTAATTTTCACCTAGAACACTTACTGACTATTACTTTAACATTTAAAGGAGATTTTGTGTGCTAAGCATGAATTAGGAGTTGACCAATTCTATATTTTATTTTGCATTCAGAATTATCTTATGCATAATAATATTTGTTGGTATGAGAATTTTTATTTATACGATAGTGTTTTTATAGAATAATAAATATATTAGTTCATGCTTTATAATGTATAAAACAAAAGATTAATGGTGGTGCTAAAACAAAAAGAAAAAAAATGGATACATATTTGTTATAGAAATAATATTTTATTAACATATGTGGATGTTTTCTTTTGTTAAAGTTAAATAATAGGAATATATATTACATATGCTATTAGAAATATGGATTTTTCATCTCACACATAATATGTATAATAGTCCATTTATTAGGATTTCACCTTAATTTATGTAACTAGAGACAACAAAGTTCAGAATATCAAAAAACATTTACAGAAGAATTATGTAACATCCCAGAAATATAGCTTAAAACTATATAAAGGAGTTAACATATAATAATATGATAGGACAGTTAAAAGATTTACAATACGAGTTCTAGGTAACCTAAAATACTGAAATATTTAAGACTTTACAGTGAAATACAAGGTCTAGTGCAAAATGTAATAATAAACCGAACGGTTCCAAAATTTCAAGCTTAAACTGAACGACTATACCAAAATACTACTAATTATATTGACCGAACGGTCCTAGGGTCCAGCTTCATTATTCTCTCCTTCCAAAGCTTCTTCCAGCGAACCCTCGTCCACTTCTGCTCACATCCATAGGCATTGCAAAAGGAAGTATGACAGAACGAACAACAAAGACAAGACAGGAAAGTAGGGTAAGCTTATATAATTTAATTAATCATAAAAACCGAACAGATTCACGTATATCATAAAATCATCACACATGCAATTTCATACAATATTAACAACAATTTACATGCAATGATCGACCATTTTTACTCTAACTGTCCAGATTGTATGAATTATGTAGCTACGACGTTTGTGCACCCGGATGGTGTAGTAGTTGGGATTCCCTCAACAGCTGCCACTTGAG